TCAAATTATTTTTATGGTGTTTGCTTGGTTTTATTTTGATAAAGGTCTTTTTATATGGTATAGCTGGTGTCAAATCCACAATCCTCCTACCTTAGCCTCTTAAGTGCTGGGATCAAGATAAATTTTTATAGCCACTAGGCCCATGAGGAGCTACCCTCCATTACTGAATCCAGGCCCAAAAGTCATTTAAAGTCCAGGGACTAATGACACATTACAATAGCACTTACAAAAGACAGAAATATATGTTCCACAAAGATGTGATCCCTGGCAACAGCCAGTAAACTGAGACTGGACCAGACTGGAGAAAGTTATCTACAAAGAAGGTGACTGGGACTTTGGACTTGAATATGAACTATAGATCAGACAACAGGACTAACAAATTCCTGCTTTGATAACTATATAGGAGGAGTATGAAGAGGATAAGGAAACATCTTTCTCTCTTAGATACTCTGAAGTGTCACCCAACACACTCTCATGTTACTTAAAAGAGGGGCTAGGGAATGGCTGGGAAGGTGGTTCAGTGGTAGAGTGCTTGCCTTGCATGCATGAGGCCCTGAGTTCGATTCCTCAGTCCCACATAAGCAGAAAAAGCTAGAGGTGGTGCTGTGGCTCAAGTGGTAAAGCGCTCGCCTTGAGCTAAAGAGCTGAGGGACAGCACCCAGGCCCAGAGTTCAGGCCCCACAACTGACAAAAAAAAAAGAGGGGGGGGCTAGGGAGAAGTGGGGGAAAGTGAAGATTAAAGCAAACTGATCAAATTGTAGGTTGGGAAAAGGATATTTGGGAGCTCCTTATGCCACCGCTGCATTTTTCCCTTCAAGTTGGAAATTGTAACAAAATGAACTTAAAACTCAAAATTTTGGTACTACAGATTGTCCCCCAAAGGCCCATGTATCCAAGGCTTGGTCCTCCAGCATGGTGCTACTGGGAGGTGGGTAAACGGTAAGAAGTAGAGCCTCAGGAAGGTCTTTGTGTCACTGGGACATGCCATGAAGAGGGCAGGCTCCTGTCCTCCTCCTCTCTTTTGCTTCTTGGCCAGGAAGGCAGCAGTTCTGCTGCACCATGGGCTCCCACGAAATGCAGCATTACTACAGCCTAAAAGCCACAAGGCCAATAAGCCATAGACTAAGAACCCCACACTATGAGCCAAAATAAATCTCTTCCCTTTAGAAGCTGATTACTTCACATTTTGTTACAGTGATGGAAAACAAAGTTAAGTAACACAACTGAATCTTAGGATCTAGCAACTCCATATCTTTGTTACTATAACCCACTACAGCTGCAGAAAAAGAAAAGTAGACAACCAAAATGAATAGTCTCCTGGACTGAGTCTTCCTTTTCCTTCACTGTCCACAATGACTTTGCACTCACAGATGTGATGTCCTCAAATGGGCACTTCTGCAAGCTCCCCTCACACCCATCACGTCCCATCGGTGCACATACACTTGAGTTCCTCCTTTCACAATCACCAAAACTCCACAAGCCTACCAAAAGCTCCACCCTGACCATTCCTGAGGTTCCAGCCACATTCCGTTCCCAAGATATTATGCTCTTTCTTGATCTGCCCATACAACCATGTGTTTCCCTTATTTGAGAGAGAGAGAGAGAGAGAGAACAATAACTCACAAAAATGGTTATATATAGGGAGGGTAAAGTCTGGAGGGAAATGGAAAGGAAAGCAAGGCTTCTACCTTGCTCCATAATCCTGACTTGGGAAACACATAAATATTTTACACAAACGTATTAGTTATATCAAATATCTAAATAATGAAAACAAGCCTCACTAAATATGGAGGGTAAAACTGAATAGAAAATAGTCACTTCAAATGATATATAAAAAGCTCTGAGGCTAGGCATGGTGGCTGTCACCTATAATCCCTTCTACTTAAAAGGCAGAGATTAGTAGGATCCCTGACCCCTATCCCTAAAATAACTAAAGCAAAATGGTCTTGGGGTGGCTCAAGTGGTAGGACACCTACCTAACAAATACAGACCCCTAAGTTTAAATCCCATTTCTAACTCCCCCAAAAGTACTGACTGTAGTATAGCTCTAGATCTAGACCTACCTTGTTAAATACAACCCCCTACCTATCCATGCAAAGGAATATACACTGCCATCAAAAAGAATGATATTAGCTTGGGCGCTGGTGGCTCACACCTATAATCCTAGCTACTCAGGAGACTGAGATCTAAGGACTGTGGTTTGAAGCCAGCCTGGGCAGAAAAGTCCCCATGAGACTGCCCAGGCAGGAAAATCCATGAGATTCTTAGCTCCAATGAACTGCCAGAAATCCAGAAATGGTGGTACGGCTCAAAGTGGTGGAGTGCTAGCCTTGAGCAAATGAGCTCAGGGACAGTGCCCAGTCTGTGAGTTCAAGCCCTACAACTGACTGGAAAAAAAGTTCTTACAGGTTGATTCATTGCAACGATGAGATGTACAAGAAGCTATGTTGAAAAATGAACTTTACAATTTACGCAGCCTCCGGGGGGAGGAGGGAGTGTAGTTGTGGAGATGGGAGGGAAGGGATGGTAGGGGAAAAACAAAGGAGGAGACAACACTTGGTAAGAAATGTACTCATTACCTTGTTCATATAACTGTAACCCCTCCTCTATACAGTATTCTCACAATAAAAAAACTTATTAAAAAATAAATTAAAAAAATACAAAAGTTCTAAACTATGCCAGAACATGTAGTTAAGAAGTACCAATTAAGAAAGCTATAGGGGCTGGGAAGATGGCTCAGTGGTACAGTGCTTGCCTCGCATGCATGAGGCCCTGGGTTCGATTCCTCAGCACCATATAAGCAGAAAAAGCTGGAAGTGGTGCTGTGGCTCAAGTGGTAGAGCACTAGCCTTGAGCTGAAGAGCTGAGGGACAGCACCAGGCCCAGACAGAGTTCAGGCCCCACAACCAACCAAAAAAGAAAGGAAGGAAAGAAAGGGAGGGAGGGAAAGAAAGAAAGAAAGAAAGAAAGAAAGAAAGAAAGAAAGAAAGAAAGAAAGAAAGAAAGAAAGAAAGAAAGAGAGAGAGAGAGAGAGAGAGAGAGAAAGAAAGAAAGAAAGAAAGAAAGAGAGAAAGAAAGAAAGAAAGAGAGAAAGAAAGAAAGAAAGAGAGAAAGAAAGAAAGAAAGAAAATAAGTTAAGCCAGGTGCCAGTGGCTCAGACCTGTAATAATAGCTATTCAGGAGGCTGAGATTTAAGGACCATGGTTTGAAGCCAGCCTGGGCAGAAAAGTCCCCATGAGACTCTTATCTCCAATTAATCACTCAAAAACCAGAAGTGGCACTAATCTTAAGCACAAAAAGGCTCAGGAACAGCATCCAGGCCCTGAGTTCAAACCCATAACTGACAACAGCAACAAAAAAAGAAAGGCTGTAAGTTATCTGATTCCATTTAAAGAAGTATCTAAAAGGCAAATCCAGAGACAAAAAGGACATGAGGAGAGAAAAAGAATCTACTCCTGAGAAAGGAATGCCATTTGGGAATGATGGAAATGTTCCGGAATGCCAAAGTAGGGATGGTCGAACAATTCTGTAAATGTACTAAAAACCACGAAACTCTATACTCTAAAAGGATGAACTATGATATTCAATTTTATCTTAATAATGATAGGCTCCATTTCTCCTTCTTTCTTTTTCCCATTACAATAAAAACTCTTAAAAGATTTATTCAGAAGAGGACTGTCCCAAATTTCCTTTCCAATATCTACTCATTTCAATCACACTTTCTTCAACCATACCTCTCCATCTAAAACTTACCATCTACTACACTTCTAATCTATACTAAGCTTAGCAATGAAAAGTAAACATTCTCAAAGCACCAGACTACTGCTAATATATAGCAGGTACTCAATTCACATTCGCTGACTGCATTAAATTTGGAATGAGAGCTAGCAACTGGGCTTCATATTCAGATTTTTTTAATTTGAAGAAAAAAAACAGAACTACTTCTAGTATCTATTCTACTCTCTAAAATAACTTCTATTACTATGCGTATTTCAAACGTAATTGTAAATTAACTGGCAGTATTTGGGGCCTTCACAAACAGACCATTCAATTTAAACACAGTAATTTTCACTATCAGAAACTTAAAATGCAGCTGAATACTCAAAAGCTATCCTATAAAACTGGAAACAGCAATTCAAAATTCAAATTCTTGTTCATTCAAATAACATAATGCACAGTGTGGTTTTAAAATGAAAACTAAAAACACAATTATCTACTCAAATGAAATAACCATAGAGCCTAAAAATATCAGATCTTCAGTGTCCATTACCTGTTCCATGGAAGGACAAGCAATGACCTCGATGTCTTCAGGGCTGAACTCTTCCTTTAACAAGGTATGGAACTTCTGGAAGACTTGCTGAATGTTATTCTTAGAAAGAAGGGCAGGTGACCATATGAGATAAGTCACAGAAAACACACCTACACCTTAAACATCAAGCACTGAGAGTGTTAAATCACCATGATTTTTGCAAAAATAGGTGGCGGGAATATATTTTTAATGAGATTTCCAAAGATGCAGAATTTGCACATGCTAGTGCAACCTGATCAAGACTTATCAGCTAATATTTCCTGGAAAAACTAAGCTCTTGTAAAACCTATGTCCCCAGAGATTTTACTAAAAGTCTTCAGCAATTTCTTAGAGTTTATTAGACTTTTTTATTTTATTTTTTGTCAGTCATGGGCTTGAACTCTGGGCCTGCCCACTGTTCCTGAGCTCTTCAGCTCAAGGCAAGTGTTCTACCACGTTTGCCACAGCGCCACTTCCTTCAGCAATTTCTTATGCAAAAATAAACTACCAATGTTTCAAAACATATAAAATGTACTTTAAAAATCTGCCAATGGCTTGGGTAATGATGTGAGCTTAACATAAACTGGATGTTATAAGTCTTAAATTTTCTCTGAGACTTAATCCCTTGGTGGCTTCTGGAAGCAATTTATTTCCAATACTCACTAGGAAAATGGGGCCTGAAATGCTGTGGCCCAGTGTGGGGGCCAAACGCCATGTGAAGGGGTGTTGAGTTTTTGTTGATTTGTTAATTTCTACTTTAAATTAACATAGAAAACTTAAGACAAAGTGACAGTGAAGGGAAAAAGAGATAATCTGACAGCTCAAGGCTCAAAGGCCTTTCATCTGCTTCATCTGTAATTATTCATCTGCTTCACTAAGTAGTTCCCTAACACTTTCAGTGTCTACGGGAAGAGCAAATGGTAGATGAGAAAAGCCACTTAAAGTTACAGTCCAACATTCGAATAAACTACCATTCTACTCACCTTAACAGGCTTGAACAAGATGAACTCTGTCTCTTTGTTGGACAGGTAGAGTGACATGCTTTTCAGTATCAGTGGCAGCTTTGTCTTTAATGTTTTATAGGCAGTTGTCCCAAGTTCACCAACTTTAGCTGTAAAGAAATTACCCTTATTAGTAGTCACAAAGGAGAAAAGAACAAAGATGACTTAAGAAAGAGAAAAATAGCAAATGGCTCCTTATTTCCCCAAAGAATTTCTTTTATAATTCTTGTGTATTTGTACAGTTTAATCACAAGCCCTATAAACATACATGTTTCTACAACATATATGAACTCTAATCCTTAGGGCTAAGGTAGCAAACTACCACCCTTAACTGTTCTCTTCCCTCACTCCCTCAGCACACTTCAGGACACATTTCAGGACCTACAATAGGTATCTTTAGATTTGGCAACAGGACATAAGGCTTACTTATTTATACATATGTATATTATGCTATTTTTAGAGACACTAGCAAAAATTACTTCATATGAACTGATGCAATCGGAGGCAATCTCTAACCAGTTTGCTTGGGTCACACAAGTTTAAGGAAATGAAATGTCCATGTTATATTCTTTTTTAACCATTTGTTACATTCTTACATTGTATTAACAGACAAGGAATAGAATTCCAGAAGTTTTGAAGTAATTACATAACTCAAATGCAGTTAATATCTGAAGGAACTACAAAGAACAGAGCAGTCACTTGTATGATAGCAAAGGAAAAGATGATTCATTTCAAAGATGCTCAAAATTAAAGTAAATTCAAACAGTGAGAAATTTACAAATTGACAAAAATTAGCAAAATAGATTGTAGATATCCATGTTTGACAAGAGTATAAAGAAAATTCTCAAGCTCCACATTTACAGATTCAACCAACTACAGATTTAAAATATTCCAAAGACAAAAGTGTGACTGTACCAAGCATATATGGACTATTGTTATTTTCCTCTAATCAATATATGTAATTACAGCATTTATATTACATTAACTATTACAAGTAATATGGAGATAGAGAATACAGGAGGATGCTCCTCAGATATTTTGCAAGTACACCATGTTTATATATAAGAGACCAGAGCATCTGTGCATTTTGGCATCTGCTGGGTGGCCTTGAAACCATCCCCAGCAGCTACTAAGAAACAATGAATCTTCCTCACCAGAGTCTCCCATCAAGAAATACAAAATGATTCAACCTCATTGGGAGGATATTAGACAATATCTAGGCAAACCACAAGTACATATACTTGTTTACCTAACATTTCCACTGACAAAAATTATTCTATATACTCACAAAATACTAAGGTAGGTCAGGATCAGTGACTCACATTCCTAGACATTCAGGATCTCACCTCAAAGCCTGTCTAAGCAGACAAAACTGAGAGACTCTTATCCTCAATTAAGCAAAAAGCTGGAGTGGAGGCCTAGCTCAAACAGTACAGCCTCAGCCATGATGAAAAAAGCTGAGAGAAAGTAAGAGACTCGGAGTTCAAGCCCCAGTGCTAACAACAATAGAAACCCAGAGACCAATGGAACAGGCTAGAAGGCCCAGAATAAACCCACACACCTAGCCACCTAGCCTCCTTTGAAAAAGAAGCCAAAAATATTTGTTGGAAAAAAGGATGGTATCCCCCATAAATAGTATAGGAAAAACTGGATATCCATATGTAGAAGACTAAAACTTAATCTTTGTCTCATACTTTGTGGTAATATCAATTCAAACTGGATCAAAGACCTCCCTGTAGGGGCTGGGAATGTGGTTTAGTGGTAGAGTACTTTTGCCTAGCAAGCATGAAGCCCTGGGTTCGATTCCTCAGTACCACATAAACAGAAAAGGCTGGAAGTGGTGCTGTGGCTCAAGTGTTAGAATGCTTGCCTCGAGCACAGAGAGGCTCAAGGACAGTACCCTGGCCCCGAGTTCAAGCCCCAGGACCAGGAAAAAAAAAAAAAAGACCTCACTTTAAGAGCTGAAATCTTGAAACCACTATAAAAACAAAGGGAAACTCCTAGGCACTGGAGTTTCTGCATGGGCAAAAACTCCCTGAATAATATTCCATATCCTCATTGGGATATGGGGCTGGGAAGGTGGCTCAGTGATGAGTGCTTGCCTTGCATGCATGAGGCCCTGGGTTCGATTCCTCAGCACCACATAAACAGAAAAAGCTGGAAGTGGCACTGTGGCTCAAGTAGTAGAGCACTAGCCTTGAGCTAAAGAGCTGAGGGACAGTGCCCATGCCCAGAGTTCAGACACACGACCAACAAAAAAAACAAAAAAAAAAGAAAGAAAGAAAAGAAAAGATAGGAAAAATTCCATGGGCTCAGCAAACAAAAGAAAGAACTGACAAATGAAACTGCATTAAGCTTAAAAGCTTCTGCACAGCAAAGGATTATAATTTCTAAGCTAAGGACAGCCTACAGAATGGGAAAAGAGCTTTGCTAGCTATATATCTGCAAAGGGTCTAATAACTTGAATTTACTAGGAGCTCAAAAAAACTAAAGCCTCCAAGAATCAAAAATCCAAAGGAGCAACCCAAAGGGCAAAGAAGCTAAACAGTTCTCAGAGGAAGAAGTTCATATACTCAATAAATGCATGAAGAAATGACGAATATATCTCTGGTGTTATTTGCAGGAAAAGATGGATCTGGAAAAGATACTAAGCAAAGTAAACCAGACCCAGAAAGATAAAGGGTGTATATTTTCTCTCACATGTAGATCTTAAGCTCATAATACCACCTCTCATAGAAGCATAAGCAGGGGCATATGTTTATATATACAATTTAACTGACTCTGGTATATACAAGGGTAAAACTTCATGCAGTAAACATTTAAACAAGTAGTAAGACTGTTTAACAAAATGAGTATCAGGGAGTTGAAACAAGATCATAAAGGGGCTGATGGGGGTAGATAGATGAAAAAGGGAACAAGGGACAAATACAGCACGAATTCTCAATATACGTATGTGATAAATGAAGTTGAAAATGTGAAACATGTCTGGGGAGGAGGGAACAGACAGATCAAGAAGCACCCAACACTTAGATGGATATATGAAACTGTAACAACCTTGTACAAGCTTTGTAAGTTCAGAAAATCTTAAACAATTTTTTAAAAATACAAAGATTATGTTCAAAGGAATTTTCACTAAATATATTTTAAAAAATGAACTGAAGATATTCTGAATATTTACTCATCGAATTCCCAAAGAATCTCTGACAACATGCTGTGAACCCATTAAGCAGAGTAGTAGGGCTAGAGTAGGGGTCAGAAAGGGCTACAAGATGCATGGAAAATGGTAAGATAAACAGTACAACCTCATTTGGATAATTCATTTTATCTTCTTTTTTTGTGCCTATGCTGGGTCTTAAACTCAGAGCCTTGAACTCTTTCACTCAAGGTTGAGGCTCTACCACCAGAGCCATGCCTCTACTTTTTGCTGGTTAATCAGAAACTGGAGTCTCTCAGATTTGTTTGGCTTCACAAAGTGATCTTAATACCTGAACCTCCTGAGTGGCTAAGATTACAGAGTGAGCTATTAGCATATTTAGGTAACTCTTAAAGGCTATGTGTGCTAACATGCACATAATTTGGGAAAGGAAACTATAATATAATGGTTGTAGATAGAGAATTATTTTTCATTTTATATCTTTCATAGTTTAAATTTCATGCCATATTAAAAAAAAACTGGAGTGATGGTGGCAAAACAAGGTTTAAAAAAAAAGTGCCAATGCTTCCAAGAAGAAATCGCTCAAGAACTGCTTACTTTTCATTAAATCATTGAAAGCCCCCTCAAGACACCACGGGGTTCTGTCTTCACCATCATCAACACACTTCAGGTATCACTAAACATTTCAGAGAGCTTAAAAACCACAAAAAGTGTACTGGCTAGTGAACACAAGGCCCACTAAGAAGGATATATGCCCTAGACAGAATTAACAAATTGGCATCCTAATGTATAATTCACTTTCCTGGGAATTTATCATAACAATCCCCAAGACCTAGGGAGGAGGGAGGAGTGGGAAGGCATGTGTCCTAAGACAGTTCATACACTATCCTCCATGTTCCCGCCTCAACTGGCCCACAAATCTCTTTGACATTTAAGTGGACTTCATGCATTAGAAATCATAAAAAAAAAACCTCCATGTGACTAAAGTAGCAGAAGGCAAACTACAAGATAGACTGAATTGGCACTGCATTCTCTGAGATCTCACTTTAAAGAACCAAATGAGTTAAATAATCACACAGCAAGGCCTAGTCCAATCTGGCCTGTCACTACTCTTTTATCGGCTCCCACTTTACTAACAATTTTAATGATGCTGAAGTGAGCAATCCCTAAGCACTTTGAGCTTTATTAGGACTCTACCTGAGAAGATGACAGTCCTTATTTTGAAAGAATCTTTTCAAAAGGGAAAGAACAATACATTAATTAGGCATCAAGTTCCTGGGCATAAATGTACTAAATATGCCTGTGCCTGTATGCTGCTTTTATCTATTTTAAGGAAGATTTACTGCCCTTAAACAGTTTCATTTACATAAACATTCAAAATACAAATCTGGTCCTATTTTTAAATAAGTCCTACATAAGCAACCAAAATCTTAAGCCAAATACACCAATGAATTTAAAGATGATGAGAATTTTTCTAAGAGCCTTGCTGCAATAAGAACTGACAAGTTTGCTTCTAGACTGTGAGGAATCATTAAGAACTGACAAATGAATCCGCAAAGAAACAACTGCCCAATAAATAAGTGGGCGAAAGACTTAAAGAGAAACTTCTCTGAAGAAGAAAGAAGGATGGCCAATAGACACATGAAG